CCTCTTCCTCCCTCCGTCCTTTGCTGGTGTTGTTATTTGTTCTGGAGCTGTTTCTACACCATTATAATTTACCGTTAAATGCTAGACAGTTCTAATAATACATTAACCACTGACAAGACCATGTTCATTCATGTACCCAGGTAGCATTTTGTACTGTACATACCTCTCTTAGTTTGGTGTGTATAGTCTTACACATTGCAAACAGTTCCATATATTGCAACACATTCACTTGTTAATATATCACCAGTACTGGTTTTTTTAATACTCTGCTAATATACTATCCTGTTGCTACACTTACTGTACGTATAAATTGGAGAGAGGAATTTAGAGTTTCATCATGTATGATATAACGGTCTAACGAACGTAGTAATTACCTCCACCACCGAATGTGGACGGAGGTTGTTTTCAATCCCGTGTGTGTTTGTCATTAAAATTTCTCAAAAACGGCTGAATGAATTTGGACGAAATTTGGCACACAACTGGACTATGACCCAACTTAGAAGCGATTAGTTTTTGGAGGGTCAAGGTCACGGAAATCCAAAAATTCCATATATGTTAACCTTGGGATCGATTTTGACACTATTTTTGCTCTATAACTCAGTCAAAAATGAGTGGATTTTTGATGAAACTTGTTGGACATATGTAGAATATTGTTTCTTATTGTCCTGCCAAAAATGTTCCGTATCCGTTGATAACGACGGACACGTTTTCGTATTTTGTGAGAGCCAAATATGATCAACTCTGCGTGGCAGAGATATGCGCTCTACGGAGTGTCCTGCCCCTCGAGTTTGTTATTGTTGTGATTTTTCTGAAAATAGTTGATCTGAATCTGTCATAGAGTGGTTGCAAGTTCGCGTATTTATGTAGGAAGACCGAACTTGGGGTTTTTGGTATTTTGTAAGCAGCTGTAAGGACTGAATCTTGTAGCGTTTGTAGGGTTTTTGGTATTTTGTAAGCAGCTGTAAAGACTGAATCTTGTAGCGTTTGTAGGGTTTTGGTATTTGTA